CCGCCGACCCCGACGGCGGCCCATGTCCTGTTTGTTACCCGCCCCAGAGCGGCCCACAGCCCCGGCTCCCGGAGCGGTGGTCGCCGCCCTGTCCGGAGAATAACAAATACGGAGGCTGAGGAGCCTGCGCTGCGGCCGACGGCCGGCGCCGCCGGGTGTCTCTGAGGCTGGGTAGGACCCGAGGAAGACAGGTGGCGGGGACCGGGGAGGGGCGGAGGGAGCCATTCCTGTCCCCATGGGGGTACCGCACGCCCGCGAAGCAGGGCGCCTTCCGCCCACGGAGTCCCCGAGGGGCCACTCCTCCCTCCCCCTTCGTCCCCGGCGTCAAATCCCGGGGTAAACAGGGCCGCCCGCGGGCGGCTGGGCTGGGCGGGGGGGGCGGCGTCTTCCCGGTCCCGCCCCTGCATCCGGGCTGCGATCCCGGGCCGCGGCCCCGGGGCCGGGCCCACACCCTTCCCTCCACCCCTCCCTCCACCCCTCAGCCCCTCCACCTGAGCGCTGCGACGCCCCTCCCCCGCGGCCAGCCCGCTGTCACCGCAGTGGTCACTGACTAGCCCCCGCAACGCGATCGTTTTTAAAACCTTTTCCCTGTCAAAGATTCCCTTCGAGACTCGCGTGAAAGCTCCGCACCCCCCGTTGCATTTATGCGCCAAACTGCGCGCCGCGGCGTTTCCAGGCTCCTCAGAGCCCAGGTTAAGAATCTTCGCTTTAGTGTCTGGTGAGAGCGCAGCCGAGCGACCTTAGCTTACTGCTTCCAGGCGTCACCAGCCGCCTTTCCCGGGGTAGGAGGACGTTGACTGACATCTTATGCTATTTCTGTGTTGTGTTTAGTTTTGAGGGTTATTTTCTCTTCTTGGCCCATATGTTAACAGTGACAGTTGGTTTCAACAGATTTTAAATATTCTTTCTTTTCTCAGTAAGTTCGCTGGCATTTGTTAGACTCTGTGCTCCTATTTGGTTTGGACACGGTGATCATACTTGCTAGAACCTCAGTTCCAGCAGCTAATTTTCTAGATTTACTAATTAAAAACTAGGTTTTTGCAAACGGAATTGGATGTTAGTTGCACAATATTGTGCATGTCCTCAATACCACTGAATTTTAAAATAAACTTGAAAAGTAAGGCATCAGTGATCTGTTCATTGCTATTTGAATAATGTATGATTTGTTTTTTCCATTTAGATTTTTGTGTGCTTTTATAGCACGATTGTAACTGTGATCTTATTTGAGAATAGGGTCATTGCAGATGTAATTAGTTAAGATGAGGTCATACTGGAGCTGGGTAGGCCCCTAATCTAATATGATCGGTGTCCTTGTTAAAAGGGTTTGTTTGGCCATAGAGACAAGCATGGAGGTAAGATGATGTGAAAAGATACAGGGAGAAGATGGCCATCTACAAGCTAAGGAGAAGGGCCTGGAATAGATTTTTCCCGTACAACCATCCGGAGGAGCCAACCCCACTGACACCAGTTTCCATTCTTTATTCCATCACAGCAGAGAACAGGAAAACATTTCTATATTTAATCTGCATTTACCCTCCATGCCAAGACTTCACTCTGCTGTACTTCCTGACCTAAAAGTAACATTGAGATGCACAGTGAAGTCATAAATGAAATAAGGCTTAAGTGAGATCTAGACAGTGGTTGGTTATAGAACAACTTTTTTTTTTTAATGGCAACTATATACAGAATCTGGTAGCACACACACAAAAATCTAATCCCAAAGGTTGTTCAGAAAAAATGGATTAAATATACAAGAGGCCTAGTTCATTATTATGAATTACTTGGTATATTCATTATGTCATGACTAATATGACTTTATCAGAAAACTGAAATGTCCTATGAAGAGGTAATACTAAAGGTGTTTCTCATTGTGCCACTAATCCTGTTATGGTTCTAAATAGGAAAATAAGATTGTATTTCTAAAGAAAAAAAAGTTGTACTCAACTTTAAAGCCATTTCTTTTCAGAAACATCAATTTCATATATTCTAAAGCTAATTTTCCAAATTTATTTTTATTAGAATACTACATCTTCCTAAAAGATGATAAAGGGGAAAGTGTTTATGTTTCTCATAAAAAATGTATAAATTAAAATCCAACAAGGGCTGTGATTTTGAACAGTACACTTAACATTTCTAGACTTTTGATTGACAAACTGTAAAATGACATTTGGGGTATAATCTCTAAGTTTTATGATGCTACAATTCTGTGAATATGTGATCATAATGTGAGGAAATATTTTAATTTTAGCAATTGTTAGGTGGTCAAGAGATTATAAATAAAATTTAAAAGATAAATAATTTGTTTCCAGGAAATCCTTTGGTTATAAGTACCAATAAGTGTGAGTCCAGTTACTTCAAAACAGTATTTAATGAAGTAAGAGTTTTATAGCTACTCAAATGTAATAAACTATATAGAACAAACTTTAGATTACACACTATTGCTCAGTCATCTTTGTCTTCTAGTAAAATGATCTTACCAGGGTTCTTCCCCCAGGCGATACCAATATATCACTTTATTTGCCAAACTTTGCCTGAGTTCAGCATCTCACAAACTGTAACAGCATAGATATTTAGCAATAAATTAATTATGAGCTAAGATTGAAGCTGTTTCCAAAGTAGGTCCCCTATCCTATAATATAAATAGCTGTTCTGTAGATAAACTGGAATTTATCTACAACAATGTCAACCTGGCAGGATTGTGTAGAAATAAGCTGGGTTGTGCTACCTATTGAAATTCATATCATTTATTCAGTCAGTTATCCTAAAAATTTGTACTTTTCATAATCATCAAATCATACTGAAAAACCATGAGGGGAAGAAAATATATACTTTTTTTGTAACCTCCCCTCATACACACAAAGTAGTAAATGATAAGTGCTCAATAATTATTATTATTGATTGATTAACTCATGTAGTTAGTCCAAATTAAGTATACTTTCCGTAAGGTAAGTTGCCTATAAAATTATTATTGTTCTCTCAAGTTGCAAAGTTAGTGTAAAAAGCGGAAAGCCGTTACTTGCTCTGCACACATATTACTTTCTGAAAGATGAATCTTACATTGGAGATTAATATTTTCAAGTTGTTTGAAAGGCAGAGGAGAAGGAAAAGTATACTCAAGTGTTATCACATGGGCACAGCCATTTGTGAGTAGACCGCTGGTTCTGAGGCCTAACTGTTAAGAGTCACATTAGTGATGCAGCTCAACAGTAAATTTTTGAAGAAATGAAAATGCAGGTAAAGAAAAAACAAAAGCCTCTTGTTCTGCTGCTGGCATTTTCAACAAAAAATGATAAGAAAACGAAGGTATTTTGTTTTACTTCAAAATAAAAAAACAACTATTATTTTTGTGAATCAGTGTGAACTAAACATCCAACAAAAGAGCAGAAATGAATCTTTGATAGTCTTTCAGGGCTAAGGAGACAGAGACCACCAAGACCTAAAGCAAAAGGCATGTGACAATGTCTGAGGATCAGGAATGAGCCAGATGTGAACTGGGTCTTAAAACACAGCCTGGATACATACAGCTCAGACCCTCATTGGATTGAGATAATCAGTCCCTTATCCTTCTACCTATTAGAGGGGTTGGTTCTGCCCTACAGAGGAAAGGTCAAATCCTCTCTAGTAGAAGAGGTCATCTGAAGCAAATCATAATAAAAAATGTGAAAACTAAAGACAGAAAACATCTTAGGAACCAGAGGAAAAAGACAGTAAATTTTAAAAAGCAACAATAAGCCTGAATGCTGACTCTTCAACAGAACTATGAAATCCAGAAGACCATAGAAGGACATCCTTAAGTTACTAAAGAAAAAAACCAACTGCTAACCTAAAGTTCTATATCCAGGGAAAAAGCTTTCAAGAATTAAGGCAAAATAAAGATGTTTTCAGACAAGAAAAAGCTGAGAATTCATTCCCTCAGTCCTGCTTAAGGAAAATGAACCTAAATCCTCAGGAGGAGAAAAAGAACACAGGCAAGGGTAATTATGTAAATTATTTGTTTAAAACAGAATAATAATGTGCTTTTTTTTTTTTTCTCGGTACGCGGGCCTCTCACTGTTGTGGCCTCTCCCGTTGCGGAGCACAGGCTCCGGACGGGCTGGCTCAGCGGCCTAGCCGCTCCGCGGCATGTGGGATCTTCCTGGACCGGGGCACGAACCCGTGTCCCCTGCATCAGCAAGCGGACTCTCAACCACTGCGCCACCAGGGAAGCCCTAATGTCTTGTGCATTTTTATAACATGTAGAAGTAGATTCTAAGAAGAGATAGGAGGAATAAATGGAGTTAAATTGTAAACATCTTTTGTTGCTCAGAAAATGATAAAAGTATCATTTGTATTAAGCTGTAAGATGCCTAGCATGATGTATGTACTTTGATTGGGGTCCTAGTTACACAGGTATGTGTATATATACACTTATATACATACACATGTAGGTATGTGCATGTGCAAAAATTCATCTTCCTGTATGTAGAATACCAGGTCTTGAATAAGTCTATGCTTAAAAAGCCAATGACTAATGGCTACTAAGTATATGAAAATATGTTTAACATCATTAATCATTAG